CCGTTGGCAGTGAGGCCTGGATGGGGACAGCCAAATCCTGCAGTCCCTGTCAGCCCCGGGAAGCTGCTTTTCTTCTGTAGAGAAGTCTCTTTATTGGAGGTCGAAGGACAGCACGTGTCTCTGTATTTATATCCGGAGTTCAGCATGCGGCGTGTGTTTTTGACCAGGAATCACGTCACTGTTTTGAAAACGACCTTTCCTTCCACAGTTGATCTCCCAAGTTAGTGACTGAATGAGGTCGCTCGGCTGCAGGGCAGGCAGGCTGGTGCTCGGTTATTTCTGCATACTGTGCCATTTGGCTGCTTGCTGATTGCATTTGATGCGGACATCCTAGCGGAAGGGATCGGGGATCAGAAGCTTGAGGAGCTAGGCTCCGGGTCTCCCAGGAATCACAGCTCCTAAGTTTTTCCTGGCTATCTGACCTTGGAAAAGTCCCTTAATTCTTGTGTGTCTCAGTTTGCTATAAAGAGTGCAGTCATGTAACACAGGTACTGCTTGACCTTGTTGGTTGTGTCGTTAAGATGACGCATTGGAAAGGACTCTGAAAACCTATTTGTTAAGTGTCTACTCGGGGCCAGGCTGGGTCCTGGGGAAACAGGACCGCACACAATGGACACAAATCCTTATCCTCTTGAAGCTTCCATTCTAGTGGGAAAGTACTGTATCCATATCAGGGGATAGCTAAGTTTGTTAAAATTGGACCTGGAAAGGGACGCCTGGGTGGCTCAGTTGGTGAAGCGTCTGCCTTCGGCTCAGGTCATAATCCCGGGGTCCTGGGATCGAGTCCCGCATCGGGCTCCCTGCTCCGCGGGGAGCCTGCTTCTCCCTCTGCCTCTGTCTCTCTCTCTGTCTCTCATGAATAAATAAATAAAATCTTAAAAAAAAAAAATTGGACCTGGATGATCACCCGGAAGTCCACTCATGGAGCAGACACCGAGTTCCCTTGTATTTTCATTTGTCCCACTATAGTATGTGAACATTAGTCTCCAAGCTGATGGGTTTCACAGTAAAGATGACAGCTGGTGCCTCCACATGGTTTGAACCTGAAGGAAGCAAGGAGTCTATCCACCACACGGTTGGATTCAAGCCTGACCTAAATGGCCCCTTAGGATCCTCCTCACCCTCCATTCTGTGCCCCTCACATTCTGGTGCATGGCACTCCTGTTCTTTGCCCAGTTTGTGTAGAAGTAGCAACCTCGAAGGTCTTTGCCCCTGGGATCCCCTCAGCCCAAGCCCACTTGGGGAAGCTGGACTCGGCATTGCAGCTCGGCCTGGCTCGGTGCTGGGTCCTGATCCCAGCGTGACATCCCCTGAGGCCCCACTGGCTGCTTGTTAAGGAAGGTCACTATCAATAGCCTGCACTTTGTTTTTTTGTAGAGCACTTTTAGGAACTTGAGACAGAAGACACCCCAGCATTAAAATGTGAAATATGCTTGTGCTGTAGATTTTTAGCATGTATTTTTAAAATCTGGTGTTTTATGGAGGTTTTGAAGTTTTGAACTGAGAACACTATATATGTTCAAACCCTTTAAAACCAAAATGCTGCTGTTTCTGCACATATGTGTGTTTATAAGTATAAACTTAGAAGTTTAGAATTTTTTTTTTTCACCTTGAGGTGAAATTATCCATCTTTAATAACAAAGTACATATCCAGGCCATGTCTATATAAAGGAACTGAGAAGTTATTTCTCTAAGTGCCAAATAATAGGTTATACCATGTATTAAACACTTGCTCTGTGTTTAGCTTTTTACATGTTTTATCTCCATTCCTACAGTATTATTAGGAATTGGGTATCATCTTGATTTTATACACAAGGAAATTATAGGAAAGGTGGAGGCATCATATTAATTCCCGGAACTGGCAAGTTTATAATTACTAGAACTCTTAAAGCTAGCTAAATTTGGTCAGTATGATTGTGACATTTTTCAAACGTATTCATTTTCTCTCCATCTTGGCTATAATCGCCCTTTTGGATTTTTCCACCCCCGGCTAATTATATAGATTGTAAGTCACTTCTACTAATAGTTATGGAAAAAGAAAGTTACGGACTAAAATAATAAACTGTTGGTAAGTCACCAACTATAAACATGGCAGTCCTACTAATTTATGTTTGATTCATACCGCGAATGGGAGCCAGCTTTTCCTTCTTTACTGAATTCATCCCGTTAATATAACTAAATGTACCTTACAGTGTAGACTTTTATATTACAGTTTTGTATTTCTTAAAAATTTAAGGAATATTATAGTTTTTTACAAAAGGATGCCATGGAAACACTAGTTTTACGCACACACTCACACACACACACACACACACACACACACTTTTTTATAAGTCTTTGTGTTCAATAGAGGGCACCATAGCACAGATCATGAATGTCTTCAGTGAAGATTTGTAGGTCTTCTTATTTCTTTTTTTTCTCATGGTAAGAGGTAAACAGGCTGAATTAATTTTTTTTCCCTACATCCCACTGCTAACCTTCCACACTCTGTACACATGTGTATATATCATTATATTGGGTTCAGTAGACAGGGCATCCTTAGTTAGGATTAAGTGGTTTTGCATAGCTCTATATTGTTCCCAACTGAACCAGTATATAATACACCTAATAAAATCATGTTGAGGAAAACCAGATTTTCAACTGTGTCCAATACAAGGGAAAAACAGGATTTGCTTTGGTTAGTTTAAAGTTGTTTTTGGGGAAAGGAATAACTTTTGGCTCATGTTGTAAATATCTTTTCAGACATTTCTTTAAAATTCTAGAGGCTGTTTTTTGCTCCTTTTATAAAGGCTTGAAAATTATATACATTTATTTTTATGGAGCCTTATAAAGATGACATTTTATTGACCATTTTACAAAGTACTCTTTATATCAAGCTTGAAGTTGATTTTCTGCTATTTGATTTGTTTGTGGAAAATGTGGCACAAATATGACTAAGGTAAAAATAGGATTTAATATTATGATGATGGCAGTCACAACATTCTCTGAAATACAGTAAACCAGATACTCCTTAAAACGAACTAGCTATGCTCAGCGAACCAGGTGGGAAAATACTTCCAAAATTTGGTATTTTTAATTGTGAGATGAAATACCTGAGAGTAAAAATCATGAATATGTTAAAAAGTTATTTTGCTTATTTAAAAACCCATCCCCATGGAGCACGGTAGCATAAATTTAGCCTGCCAGTCAGAGGGCCTTCCAGTAACCAAAACCGTGCCTAGCAGGGGCACTGTTTTTTGAACTCCAGGCCCGTGTGGTCGGATGTCGCCTCCCCCCCCTCCCCCCCCCATGGCCACATCCTCCCACTTCAGAATTGTGAGCTGGGTATGTGCGGGCTGGGCTCCCTCTCACTTTTCATGGGCATGTCCTCCAGATGGCAGTAGTAAGCAGAAAAGAAAACACTGGAAATAATGAGTCTAATGTACAGTAAAATTGGAAATTGAATTATAGCTCAAGAAAAAGGACAGTAGCCTTGAGGTCCCGATCAACCTGGACTCTGATCACTTTTGTTTGCTGTACCCATGTGTTAGGTTACTAGCAAGTTAATAACCGCGCGTGAGCAGTTCAAGGCTCAGTAGAATTGCTTTAGACATGAAATAAAGCTAAAATGAATTTGTGTCCAATATCATTGGCATTAGTGCTCATTACTTTTGTGGTGTAATGCCTCGAACCATCTAAAATCAATTTTAAAGATTACTTATTATTTTATAAAGAAAATAAAACACATTTCCAACAGAAATAAAACAGTGAGCGTAATCCTATGAGCAGTTACTTGTTCGTGGCCGGCAGGAAAACCACTGACAGGACACAGGAAACTCTGTGCAAACTTCACGGCAAATGCGAGTTAATATTAATGGGTTGTTGCCCTATAAATCTTCTCTTGATTTGAAGTATTTAAAACAAGAGTGGTAAACATTTGTAAATGTAGAAAATAAATCTCAAAGAGTAGTAAAAGGGATTTACTACTTTACTACTTGTACTTGGTAAATTAATCTTTATCATGTGATATGGTCATCTTCTGGGAGAAGCCGGGGCAGAGGATGGGGAGGGAGGGGAAGTACTTAGCTGCTTTGCTGGAGATTTTGCCCTTTTAAAAGGCACAAAGGTTTAACCTTTCCTTTTAGTAGGCCAGTAAAAATATTTTCCCAAGCTACATTTGGGAAGCCTGTTGAAGCTAGATTTTGGTTGTGATGCTATACATGTGTAGACTTTTGCCTTGAAGAAATAACTCTTTTATTTTGGAGAAAAGGAAATCTTCTAATGACCTTGGATTTTAAGTAAATTGACATGATTGGCCAAAAAAGATTTACTTTTCTAGTTATTTGTGTAGAAATGCAGAATATAAGGGAAGGTTCATTCGGTCTGAAATACATAATCTGTGTTACATAGAGCTCTCTGTGCAAAATCCCACGTTGGGCAAAATTATCCTCGGGTTTTCGTGTTTTAGTTTTGTCCCCTCTGTTGGGCCCGAGTGCCTCGTAATATATCATTACTGAACTATTCATAGAGACGAAATTATCATACATCAAGATCTTTCCTAAAAAGGTAAAACCAGTTTTTATTTAAAAATAAGGGTGTACTTTGGCTTAATTTCCTGTTCTGAAACATGCATTTCAGAAAAAAAAAAAAAAAACATTCGGTGATAATATGAATTTGAGCAGGTACAGAATTGTTGGAGTTGTTTTTTAGTTTTCCATGTAGTTCTGATGCCCTGGTTGAAATCTGTACTGTCTTTGTAAACTTTGACCTTGAATGTAGGAAGGCTAGAATGTACTTAGCACAAAATTATCGTATTTTAAGTGTATATATGGTAAAATCATTGGAGTAATTTTATTTGGTGGCTTATTTTAACAACTAGAAACACAGTGCCATGGAAGATTATGGAGATTTCTAGTCCATCTTAGGTTTTCCAAAAAAGCCAGCTCTCAACCCAGCCCTTGTAAACATGTACATAAGCACACTTGTAAAGTTTTAAAATGTAAAACATGCTGAGAGACATATTGGCTTTTTAATACAATTTTTAATAGTCGTTGAAAGTTCTGATGTTTCATGACAGCTTTGCCAAAAAGATCACAGAACCGACCTGCTGGTTGGCAGTGAAAAAATTTTTTTGAGTAGCACACATTTCTATGACCATAAGCAAAATCTTTCCATAGTTAATCCACATGGTCATAACAGATGGTTAAATTGAAGAAATGTCCTTGAAGTTATTCTTTTAACAGATGTTCTTAACTATTAGCTCCATGTTTTTACTCACCTAAATTTCCAAATAATTGAATAAAAAGTTAACATATGCTTTGATCCTTTTAATAGGCAAAGTCTTTCATTGATGCAAAGTTTGCCCAGTGGAGAGAGGACTTCGGTGGCCACCCTTCTAACGTGTTGCTCTCTCCTCACCCTCTAATTGTCCATCCCCGACCACTGATCATTTCTCCCTTTTCCTCTCACACAGGGTCCTCCAGAATGCACTCCTGCTCTCAGATAGCTGTCTCCACCTCTTCCTGCAGAGCCATCTGAATTCGGAAGACATCGAGGCTTGCGTTTCTGGGCAGACTAAGTACTCCGTAGAAGACGCCATTCACAAGTTTGCCTTGATGAACCGGCGTTTCCCTGAAGAAGACGAAGAAGGAAAAAAAGAAAACGATATAGATTATGATTCAGAAAGGTATTTCCTTGCATTTCGATGTAATGTGTATGTGTTTGTAGAATACAGAGTGCACATATGCGTGTGTGTAGACATATAGACACACTTCACTTTTTTGTTGATGTAATACTAAGATAATGAAAAAATTAATTGACTGAGATTTTATTGAGCTGTGACAGCTCATCATAGCAGTCTTCACACACACCTCCACACTGAATTAATGAATGCAGTAGAAATTCAATTATCTGCATTCTGATTATGTGACTTTCATTTAGTCAGACTTGAATTATTCGCGTTTAAATTATCTGGCTAAAAAAATATCCAACTGCACTCCAAATGGCTAATTAAAAGTCCAAATTTCCTGTCTCTCTTTTGTGACTGGAGATAATTAAAGTTCTCCTCTGTTACTCAGGCTTTGAGTGTGTTGTGAAAACCAATTTCCTCTTTTTATTATTTTCCCCCTCTCTTCTTTCCCAGTTCATCCTCTGGGTTTGGACACAGCAGTGATGACAGTAGTTCACACGGATGTAAAATGAGCACCGCTCCACAGGAATCCTGAAAAATAATTCTCACGTTACCATCTTAGGAAGAGCAAATGATGTCCACTCATGGAGAAGAAAGCTTGCTAATAATATATCCTTACCTAAAGCTCACTGTCATGACATTAGGTATTTAAATTCTTAAAGATGTTGCATTGTTTATTAGTTATTTTTATGTTGTCTTATTCTGGCTCAGCTTCTGTAAAAAGCTAAAAGGCCTGTGAATGCAAGTCCCCTTTCGAGGCAAACATTATGGGCAAAAACAAGATCCTGCCCTGGGATGAAATGTTAGGTACGTTTAGAAACACCTACTTGGTTTTACTCAATTTTAAAAAATAGGTATATAGGTAGCCTGCATTTAAAAATCCAGATAGCGCTTTCCTTCTTGTATCCGTGGTACAGTGTTCGCATGAACACAGCCTGTGTGATCTTAACCACTGTGGAGCCTGACGGCATAGACCAGGCCGCCTCTGCAGACATGTGGCTGGTATTTTGTGGGCTCCTCCCCTGCACTGGGAAAGACACTTTTTGCTTTTGGGTGTTTGACTGAAATATTTTAAGAAGCTTCACCTTTCCGGTATTTTATGTCCTACTTAGATGGAAAAGTGTACCTTATGAATAGAGACATGTTAAAATAATGTTGACGTCTTAGACAATAACAGAAATAGTGCTAGTCATGTTGCTTATATTTGCAGTATATAGATTCAGAAATACATTTTCATTGTCCAGATTCATTCACACATGGTTTCTGGAAACAAATAGTTTGTTTTCATTATTGTTGTGTGATTAGAATTTACGGGTTAACTATTTTCGGACTAAATGTGCAATTTCTTATCACTAGGTAACGTTCAGTGTCAATGGTGGTTCTTTGTCATTTATTTTCAAGTTAGAAGTGGAATCTTATAAAAATTAGTAAGTTTATCAACAAATAGTCCCGTAATTTAGAAAAGAATATCAACTTGCTAATTTAAGAATTACTCATTTTTAAAAAGTCCTTTCTTTCTTGTATCCGCCTGAGGATTGGTATCATTTAATAAAATGTCTTCTTTTTTAGTGGCCCAAAGATAAAAGGTCTTAGATAAACTACACTGAACTTCAAATTTCAGATGAGGCAGCATTTTCTTGAGATAATTATCCAAGTTTCTTCTTCACTGAATGGTATGAAATATCTCTGAAACCACCAGGAAGATATTTTTACATAACCGGAATAACTTGTTGCTTTAATTAAATGTTACCTCACCTCATTTTATTTTAACTGGGAATTTAAAAGTTACTGTATTATTAAAAAGTCTTTGAAATGCTCATAACTAAGAACAGAAAAAAATTAAATTTAGAATAAGAATGATCTTAATTTTTCCTTCTTGTTTTTGTTTGGTCCAAAACATTATTGAGCTTTTGTAAATATTTTGATTTAATGTATCTTGGATCTTGTCACTTTATCATCTAAGACTCGTTATTTTAATACAGGGGAAAAAAGATTTAGCAATTTCTTTTTATCTTGCTAACATGTGAAGTTTGCCATCCAGTCATTTAAGAGCGATCCTTAGCTTGCTGGCAATGTGTATTTGAATTCACATTATTTCTGTTTTACAAGTTTTTGAAAAGCATGTAAGGTGCCACCGATTGTCATATTATTTTTAGATGATGTAACATAGCCATCAAAATTGACATTAAGTATGCCTACTACTGTGGTGTGTAAACTTCATAAGATCATCGTTTTCACATTAAACGTGAAAAAATCAAGTTCAGTTTGTTGGCTCACTTATTCTATAGAAGAGGATAGATTTCTTCTGACTTACACCTAAATTCAGTGTGTTTTTGAACCAGCAGTAAATTTTAATGAGAAACTTCGGTAAGACTTGGTTTAATAGTCACTACGGTTGTGCACATTGGAGGCTCAAACCATCTTGGTTTAGGGGTTGTAGTATCTCAGCACTGGCTTCTTAAAACTCATTTTCTGCAGCTGAGCTATTTAGGTGAACTTCAACCCCCGATGGCTTTCTGGCTTTGTTCTAGTTCCTTATTTTTCTCTGGCATATTTTTATAAAGCTTTCTCAAGGAAAAGAACATAATTACTAAGTAACTAAATTAAATAGATGTTTATTTAAAACTGTCTTTAATGGAACTTAAATTTAAAGAATTCTAATCTTGGATGCTTTATGATTTACATACAGCAAAACTGTATTTCCCTGGCTAATTCTGAAAGGGTAAATCGATTCACCTCTAAAGCCATTTTATGTGTTTTGTTTGAGAACTGATTTTTTACATAACCCAGAGGTGTCAAAAATGAAAGTCAACAACCTGTTACTTAGGGCTTCTTTAAAGTCTCACTTGGAAGAAAGTGATTTGGATTCCAGTTAAAATTTCAGGTTTTTAAAAATTATTAAGGAAAAACAGAAATGTTTATTTTTAAGTAGTTATGTCCCTTAAGATATTAAGTATCTTGCAGGAGCTTTTCAAGCCTAATGCACATTTTATTGAATAATTAAATACAAACAAGTGATATGCCATAACCTTACTATGGTAAGGTAAAAGAATAAAATTTCTTTTATGGCTATTAAGAACATAAACAAATTTACTTAGCCTACTCATAATTACCGTTATATCCAACAGAAAATTGAATGCTGTTTTGAACTCTGTTTTTTTGGTGCCTTAAGGGTTCATCATTATTGAGCTACTGTGGTACAAATACAGTTTTCGGTATTTCAGCTATCAAGAAGACCCTTTTCCACGAAAGGCCCCTACAGTTTTAAGACAAAAATAACAAAAGCTTATTCTGTTTCTAAATAGTTTTCCTCTTAATATTTAAATTGCTTAGTCAGTGTCCTATGAGTTCAATGTAGCATCTTTTCAGTGGAGAAAATTATTTATTTCAACATAATTTTCTCTTTTTGTTTGGAATATAGACATTTTCTTACTTTATTATATATAAACACATTTTCAAAAAGAAATGCCGTCTGAAATTAATTACCGCAGTGTGACATTCAAAGCATAGATACAATTTTCTTTGCAAATAAAAGTCCTAAGACATTAACACACTATAATAGAGGGAGTTCAAAAATTGTAGAAGAATGGAAGTAAGCAACAATTTCTTTAAAATTTGAAATATTTACAAAGGATTTTGCCTCCGTTCTTTGCCATATGCATCTCACAAACGAGTCACCATTGTCCCTTGAAGTCAGACACAATTGCTCTTCACTCTTGTTGCAAACTTTTCTAGATCATTATTATGAACACTGCATTGGACACTAATTTATTTTAGCTGCGCAAACCCTGGTAGTTAATGATCCTCTTCTCTTTCTCCAAAATTCCAAAGACTTCTTTTCAAAAGATAGAGAAGAGAAGAGGGGAAAAAAAATTCAGCCACAGTTTTCTGCTGAATGTAAACTCTAGTCTAAAGACACTATGCAAATGGCTTCTGCCAAAGAGGAAAATACCCTTTCTGCCCCCCCACAGAAGTGTAGATTCATCCCAAACCCCACACCGCTTGTCTTGGCTGCTGTAGCGACGCAGCACGGGCATAACTTGTGGTTGTGTTTTTGTTAGTTTCTTACCTCTGGGTCTTCTTTATAGCTTTGCCCCCACCCCACTGGCGGTGGCGCTCCCGCCGCTGCACCCTCGGCCGCCTGTTGGCTGCGGCGCCTCGGCGGCTCGCGCACACTCCCTCGCGCCGCGTCCCGCACACGCGCGCTCCCGCCGCCTCCCGCCCGGGCGCTCCGCCGGCGGCGGCTGCGGCGGCGACTGGGTGGCAGGTAGCGAGCCAGCCGGCCTCGGTCCGGTAACCCATGGCAACCGCCCTGGTAACCCATAGCAACTGCGCTGCGGAAAGAAAGGGAGGGAAAAAAAAAGAAAACCCGGGTGGGGGGGCGGCGGTGGGTGGTGAGTGGAAACAACAACCGCAGAAGGACAGCGATTTACAGCACAAACCTGCAGCGCCCTCTCCCCTGCCCCACCTGCTGCCAACGTGGGCACCACGAGGCCCCCTTCCCAATGTGCAAATGACAACTCTGGCTGCTTGGAAAATAAGAAAACGAGAATGCAGAGGGACCTCGGGGGGGGGGGTTGGTGTGGGAGGGAGCTTTGAACAGCGATGCTCCCCTACCCCCCGCCCCAGGCCTCCGGGCTCTGTGGTCTCCTGGGGCCCCGCTGGGTTTGTGAGCGCGCGTGGAGCCGCGACCGCGCCGCTCCGGTGGGTTTCGGGACGGCTGGGTCGGGGTCGGCCGCGCCGGAGCCGGGGGAGGCGGCGGCGGCGTTGTTGTCGCGGTCTAGACCGGGGTCTTTGTTCTGCAGATGCTCGCGGCGCTGCGGCCCCCGGCCCCGCCGGCCGGTGCGAGAAAGGGGGCGACGGCGTGCCGCCCCGGGGTCGCGGCGAGGCTGGGGCACAACCCGCGCGCTCCCTGTGTGTTATCTGCGCACGCACCGCACCCATTAGTTAACCTCTTTCCTCTCCAGTCTCGCCAGGACCTCACAGCCTGCCGGGCGGACGCGCCGTCGCCTTAACTCCCCTCCCCCCGTTTGGAGAGGGAGGGGACAGTCGCGCTTGGTGGCGGGACTGGGCCTCGGGGGTAGAAGCGCGTGCCTCCGGGTCCACAAACGGCCCTGGGTCAGAGTTTAATGTCTGTGTGTGCGGGGGAGGGGGGGGTGAGGAACAGGCGGGGAGACACAAGTCCTCCACCGCTTTAGGCTGCGGGCCCAGAAGCGGGGCGGTGTTCTTCGCCCGGAAAAAAGAGGCGCGCGGCCGGTGGCATAACCAAGTGCAAGGCCGCCGGAGGACAGAGGGGGGCGCTGCCCGCCCGAGAACGCGCCGCCTGGGGTCTGGCTGGTTGTCCGAGTGGTGGAGTGGTGTTAGGGGTTCCAGGTGGAAGGAACCTGCGCCCCACATAGATTTCAGTCCGTGTTGAGGAGTATCGTCTGCTCGTTCGTGTATTCGCAGAATCCCCCTGATGCAGGAAGCATCCGGGGACTGGTTCCATTCAATACCGAGCCCCTAGGCCCATGCAAGTCCATTCCACGAGGAACGGTACTGGGGTGAAGACCGGCCGCCCTAGGAAGCTGAAGTCCACAGTTCTAGGTCTAGTTCAAATGAGCTGTGATTCCAAGCTCATTTTGATGTTTTAAAAAGGAAAACTTTTGACTTGGATGATTCTTGAACTCCTTTGAGATCTTAATCCTCAATGATTTTCCCTCTGTAGATGTGTACCAGTTACAAATCCAAATAGCAAAGCCATCAGCAACATCTTTTTGGAGGCCAAGACCTACACAAGTGTAACACACACTCACTTGTACAATGCAGGCTCCTGAACAGGTGATTAGATCAACAGTGTCTCATCTAACTTTTGCTGGTAGACAAAAGGGAATCTGGCTATGTAAAGAAAGGTATTTTAATCCTTTCATAAAGAAAAGAATCTTCCAAATATATATTTTTGCTGCCATAGATCCTGGGGAAACTTGGTTTATTTCCGCACATATGCATGTTCTGGGTTCCACTGCCTACCAAGCACCTGGCACAGAGACACACGAACCTTTGGAGGTAAAAGGTAGCTACTTGCGCACCTGGGGATCCATTCGGTACCATCCCAGCCGTCTGCATTGTGGTGTACTGGGAGCCCTGTGCTTTAATTTAAATTTTTTTTTTTTTTTTTAACAAAAGCAATTACAGAAAAGTACAAATTTAACGTGTGACATTTAACATTTTGCCGTGGCAGGCAGCCTCCACTTAAATGGGGCCTTTCTGCAGAACAACAGGAGCCAAAAGGCCTTGTGTCATGGAATAATGTAAGACACAATCTGGACTGCAAACGCACAATGAATCGGGAAGGATTTATGTAATTAATTGACCAGTCTTAACCTGTTATCATGATGTAAGGAATTTGGAACTCATTAATTTGGGCTCTGACAGATTTCATATTAGAGCTGGCAAATATGGATTGAACCTCTTATTTTTGTAGCAGCTGGAATTTCCATGACAGTGAGGATTAGTGAAGAAGACCTATTGCTGGAGTCAAACTGCCTCTTTGTAATCAGTAGCCCTGCTCTGCATTAAAGGGATAATGGAAAAAAAAAAAAAAAAAAAAAAAGGAAGAGCCGTATTACCTGGCTGAAGAAGCCGAAGGGGCTTGTGTTCACTCTGCTGGCATGTGTGTTGAGCTCCAGCATTTGCAGTCGAATGGAAACATTAATTTCAATCATAAAGTTAGGTGGTTTCCCAAGCACCTTGAAAGAATGAGAAGGTAGAGGGGTCTCAGGGTCAGGTTTGGTATTGTTGTCAAAGTTAAAAGGGCTGAAAAGACAGAGCCTTTGAATTTCCTCTATGTGAACACAGAGACTGTATGAGGAAGGATACAGAAGTCCTCTGAGGGGCAAACGGTGTTTCTTGTAATGTCATAGTCACTAATGGGCAATTCAGAGCCTTGAGGGAGAGCCTGGCTTTCTCAGGAGCCACTCACTGTCTCCTGCTCAGAGCTCTTTCATGGACCTCACGAAACCCAGAACTCACGTAATGAGCCTTTCATTTGATCATCTAATCTCTGTCCCCTTCACAGTATATGATGTCTAGTGAATCACCCCTTTGGAAATGTCTAATTTCTTTTTTGAGATTTTAAGAAAACCCAGTAAAAACCTAACTTTCATTTTTCCCCCTTGACAATCAGAAAATGGCTAGGTTGAAAAAAGGGTCTCAAGATTAAACTAAATGTCTTTTCTTTTCCTTCCTTTCACAGTACTTTTCCCCTCTTGCTGTGCTGTGTGAGAAGGTTAATATAACAACCGCCGTAGGGATCATTAATACAGGAAGATAAGCAGAGTTGCACATTTAAAACATTTTCAGGGTATCATTTGCCTCCTTGTACCGATAAAGAAGTCTTTGGTAACAAATGCAGAAGCAGGCACTGAATATTTAACTTTTTAGACAGAAAGCCCCATTGACCTTTCTCAATACATTATTATGCATAAATACTCTCCAAAGTTGGGCACTGACTACTCTTGAAATGCGTTTTTTCACTTGTATATTACCTTTAAAAAACTTTCATTCAAGCAAAACTTAAATTTTTATATAACAAATATTGTTATAACATAAATCTTCACAAAAGAAAAAGATTTCCACTCCTCCTCCCCGCCTCCCTTTTTTGTGCTGTCTGGATTCCAACTGAATTGCCAAGTAAAGAATTTTCTTTTTAGTTAGTAATAATAGGATTTGATCTAGCAACACAGCACTTGGTACAAAGATTTGTTTTGTGATTATCTTGTTAACGACTGATTTCTTCAGCTTTGGTTCCATTTAAGTGAATGCATAAAGATAAACCCTAGAAATTGGCATCAATATATTAATGTTATCCTTCTCATTGAGAGAGCTAGTAGTTGTTATTGGTATTAGTATTTCAGTGGGAAGGCTGTGAAGATCAACAGTTGATATCAGCAAGACTTGGATAACTAATATAAACCATGACAAGGGCGATTAATAGTGTATATAAACACACTTCAAACTTGTATACATGATCTCAGCTCTCACTTACGGATTTCTTTGTATTTCTTTGTAAAGGGTAATTTGTAAGTTGACAATTACAAGGTTATCAACTTATGTGCTGTGCATACTGTTTATGTACTGGAAGTATGGAATGGACATATTGAAGCATGATTTGTCAGAGAGAGTGTTGACTGGAAGGAAGTCTGGTGAACTGAGTTCTGGCTCCGCTACTAGCACATACTCAGAGGGAGCTCCCAAGCCCTCTGGACTGCAGTATCCTCATCACTGCAATAAGAAGATTGGATACAGAATGCAGAATGTCTTTAAAGGTGTTAATAAGTGTTGTTTAAAAAGAAAAAAGAGGAGGTAGGTTGAAGGTTTCCATAGTCAGTTATATTTTAGACACATTGTGTTAAACAAAATTTAACATTAATTTTTTTTTTCTGCAGGACTTGTCAGTGCCTTTCGTATATTAATATACACTGTGAATCTCTTAAGTATTTGTGTGTGAGAGGGGCCGGGGGTGGGGGGGCTTCTTTATGCAATTTCCTTAAACTGATTTGAAGAAGAGAATCTAAAATTCTATGATTTTTGAATCTGTAATAGTTTGGACCTCTTCCCAGAATGAGTAAAGGGCACTTGCTTTCACCCTAGGTGTTCCTGAGGTAGGGTGTGAGGAATATGTGAGTATCACTAAATAAGAAGGATTCCCCTTCAGGGAGCAAGTTCTATAAAGAGGCAGGGAGTACGGTACTAAGTTTAAATCTTAGTTTCACTGCTTATAAGATAAGTGACCGGGGAATAGGTCACTTAACCTTATGGAATTTGTTTCTTCGTTTATAGCATGAGGATAATGATACAACGTGAGGCCAGGGGTGAGGCCAGCAGTGATGAAGTCACTGCACATTCCCTCTGCTTGGAAGGGTCTTTCCGTTTTCCCTTCCAATGCCTTTTTGCTTGGCTAATTCCTACTACTTATTCAGGACTCGTGTTCTGTCTCCTATGCACTGATGACTGATGTCGACTCTGACCACACCCTTTGTGCAACAAGACCCACGACCAACCTCATGTCCCCACGTGCCTTTCTGGCAACACTTCTCCCCCTTGCTCTGCAGGGTGGGTCACCTGTCTGTCCGTTCCTCTGTTCAGGCAGAAGCTCCTGGAGGGTGAGGACTGCCTTTTATCTCT